TTAATGGACTGTTTGAGTCTCATCCAGAAGAGACCTACTTTCCCTGACATAGCTGGACTAACAGATATGGATGATAAAGCTGGCTGAAGAGTAGAAGTGAGGGATGATGTGGTTTCCCCTGTCAGGCAGGAAAAGAATCCTGGCTTAAACCATTAGTATTGACAGATTAGATTGGTTTCATGTATGCAAAGGCTAATTGAATCTTTGGGGTACTAGGAATTAGCACCTGTGTTGGGAATAAACAGGATTTAGGTAATTGGAGTTATTTAGCTCCGTGGGGATACAGTAAGACTTCTTCTAAATAAGATTCTGGATCTTCTCTTTCTTCTAGATCATATGTAGGCATCTTCAATTCAGTCCTGGCAAAGTCTGACCAAATATTTGATTCTTTCTAATAATGGGGTTAGATATGGAACTGTTATATTACTTAATGTGTATGCCCCCTTTTAGTTATTACTGCTGGTTTGTAAAAATTATAATTATATTATGATTCAAATTCTTTTGTGCAAATATTTTCAGTCTCATAGTATTTAATGTAAAGAGTGGGGGAAAAAAATGTCTTCTCAATGACATCATGCCCATTCCTCACAAATAATCACTGTGATGGAGTTTGGTCTGTGGAATACAGAGGTTACCTTGGGTTTGGATTAACGCCCTGGCAACACATGATCAGCTTTCTTCAGCCCTGAGTTTACTTAGCTTTAAGGAAGAGTACAAGACAGATACTAAAACTTGTTTGATAACAAGAGTAGTGAAGGCCTAGGAGTGACTTTGAAATGTCCCAGTCACTCCCATGTTAGGGATGCAGATGGCCATGAAAGCCATCAGTTCTCCAGGCGGTTGATTCTATGCTAGTTGTTGGGAGTTTCCTCAGGGGTGTGTTAAGCATCCATCCTGCAGTGTCGGGGTGTCTTACTGATGCTGAGTACCGATTACTTGATAAACCTTCTTGCTAAGGTAACTTTTGCCAGACTCTTCGTTTTCTTGGATTTGTTATACTCCTCTACATTCTCTGAGTTGCTACTGCAAGGAAGATTAGGCCAAGGGCTATTTAAAGTTTTAAACAACAATATATCTTAGAAGAGAACACAAAGACATATAAGAGCTACTTTTTTTTTTTTTTTTGGTTCCTTGCTATGGTTATGATCTAGTTTACCACTATTCAACTGATGACCCGTTAAATTTGCCAGTAGTTTTTCATGATAACACAAAATATCACAATGAATATCCTTGTGTATATGCCCTTGTGAATTTTGACAGGTGTTCATATATGCTGCATGGAATTTCAGGATCAAAGGGATGCACATTTAAATTTTTATTAATCTGCCACTGTCCTTCAAAGTTAGTGTCCTCAACAGCATGTGAGAGAATGCTTCCCTATGCTACTTCCTCTGGTTCTGTTGTCTCTCTCTAGTCCCAGGAAAATTCTATGAATTTGGCAAAGTATATATCATAAATTTTGTTTTACATTAGAATCCTCGGGATTGGGATTACATTGAAGTCAGAAGGCGACTGATCTAGATTTAGTTGATAATCTGCTTTTTCAGCTGAAACTGCAAAATGCTTCTTTTATTTTACTTTTCTTCCATTTTAATACTTGGAACGAATTTAATAGCTTTCTGTGGAGAAAGTCAAATTATTTCTGTCCAATTTTATTCAACAGAAATCAATGAAATAGCCAATTAACCTCCGATGTTGAATGGAGTGCTTCGTTTTCTTACAGTAACATTAACTTACATTATGCCACTTTTAAAAAAATGTCAGTTTAAGATGCATTTAACGTACTTACTGGTAGTACCAATATATAAAGATAATTTAATGATTTTACTGTACTTTAGTCTTTAGTTGTATATTAACCTAACGCATAGTATATAATTGCTCAATCATTGAAGTTACAGTATTTCACAAATCTGCACAATTTCGGCTGCATACACCAGTGAAAATTTCACATTAAAAGATAACTCAGAGACTAACTTGTATTTATTCAAGTTTGGAACAGTTTAAATGATGGAGTAAACAGGTTTTTGAGGCAGATTCATTATGACTTATAAAAATATATAAGAGTACCTTCTACTTCTGGGTCTTTTTAGTTTGTTACTTTCATTAACAGGCATATTTGTAACTCATTTTTCCAAGTCTTGTCAGTGAATTTATGCCAACAATATTTATGCTTGAAATATTTTGGTTTTCAAATGCAATTTTATTTACATATGTGGAAAGTACTTCAAACCAGCTAAAACAGTTTATTATTAAAATTTTAAAAAGGTAGAATACATCTTTTTTTGGTCAAACTTTATTGAAAACAAAACAGTTTTAGGGGCCAGATGGGAACTTGTTTTTCCTTTCAGGTTGGATTATACCCCTGCCTGCAACTTAAAGGTATTGAGAGAAAAGTCTATAGAATTTCTCAGGGTTATTTTAGCTCCCTTTGCCTTTTAAAACGGGAATAGGGGCGCCTGGTTGGCTCAGTTGGTTAGTTATCCAACTTTGGCTCAGGTCATGGTGTCGCGGTCTGTGAGTTCAAGCCCGTGCTGGTCTCTGTGCTGCCAGCTCAGCCTGGAGCCTGCTTCCGATTCTGGGCCTCCCTCTCTCTCTGCCCCTCCCCCACTCTTGCTCTGTCTCTCTCCAAATACATACATACATACATATGAAAAAATTTTTAAACAGGAATAGACATGGACAAATTTGCTTTCTGTGATCCAGATAGGTCTCTTTTCATCAACTGTTTTATCAATGTCAATGTGAATTTAGATGTAAGAAGTAACAGACAATAGCGAAAGTTTTGGGATTGTGAAAGTAACACTAATCTTCCCTGATCTAGAAGCAGTTGTACAGAGTTGTTCACTGAAATGTCCCTCTCCTTTCCTTGTCTTCCCATTACATTTTGTTGCTTTTATTATAGTTCACACAGAATCTATAATGCATCACGTGTATCTCCTTTGGTCTCTCTTCTTCCGCCAAATTGTGAGCCTGGGGTATTAGATCTGTTTGTTACTCACCTTATTATTCTGTTTAGGGCCTGGAACATAACAGGTATGAATGTTGAATTCAGCCGATCCTTGCCAAGTACTATGCTGTGAAGTTGACAACTCATTCTGTTTGATAATCCTTAGCCACTGAAAAACTATTTCTTAGATTTTTATATTGGGTGAATCAATTTTTATATAAAAAGATTTAATATACATGTTAGTTTTCTTTACAGATAATTGTTTTATATACTCAGGGTAATTACTGATAGTTTACCATCTATTTATTAGTCGCTTCAATTTACCTATTCAGTTGTTTTATGCCGTGTTTTATATATGAGACCCATTTTAGCTTTTGAACTTTTAGGTTTTGAATTTAGAAAATGTGCAGAATATTCTGTGATCTTCTTGGAGTTATGTTTGTGGCTTATTTGAATTTGGGTGTCGTTCCTCTAAGGAAATCTATATTTTTAGTAATTGATAAAATGAGAGGTCCCTCTCAAACATCTTTGTGAAAGCTTAGTTTTGTTAAGGACTTTTTAGGTAGTTTAGGCTTTTCTTTTTTAGGAGCCCAAGCATTTTAGACTTTTTATTCATGATGACACAAATGGAGGAGGAGTACCAGTGTTGATTGAATGCTTACTGTGTTTGGTATTCTGATGAACGATATAGAAAATTAAATTATTAATTGCTTAATAGCTGTATGCCACAGCTGGTATTACCCCCATCTACAGATGAAGCTGAAGCAAAACTGGAATATATTTTTGCCACTTGGCCTGTTTTATTTCTGATAAAACATGGAACACAGAAATTAGTCTCCTGTATCATGGATTAGTTAGGAAACACATGAGGACTTTCTTTCTGCCAATATGGCCAGTGAGGTGTCTTTTACAACGTCCTCCTGCCTTTTAACACCTAGACATTTGGAGGTAAATGTAATAAACACCTTTGAACGTGAAGTTAAATTTGCAGCAAGGGAAGGGGATTTCGTAAGTGCCAGAAAATGACAAAACAGCTCCAGGAGTGTGTGTTTCTCCTGAGGGTGCTGGAGCCCAGCGCCTCTGCTGACCCCTGTGGCCCCAGTGACTTCGGTTTTAACAGCCACCTGGGGACAGGAGGCAGGCTTTGGGTTGTTATGGGCGAGGAATCGCAGTCTCAGACATATCTGCACTCACTGTTCTCGCCCAGGGTGAAAACTCAAGTTTGATCTGACACCTTTTGGTAAAGGATATTTAAAAAAAGAAGAAAAGAAGGGACACTGATGGTAAGATACTGAACATTTCTGGGGAAATTGGAAACGAGAGCAGTAACAACAAGAAAATTGTCATCTGTGGGCTAGGAGAATTTCACGGAACAACCGCTCGGCAGCTTCAAATCCTACAGTGAAAGCAAGACAGAAAATACAAGGCCCCTTTGGAGAGACAGCCGGTCTTGCTCGAGTATCTTCATGTTTCCCGAGTTTTAATTTTGTGCCACCTCATAATTTTTACTGTGTGCACACATTATCGAGACTGTTAGTCACTTTCTTAAAACAGACGTACGGCGTTAGGTTTATGATTTTATTTTTAAAAGAAAATTCTTCCATCACAACAAAATTGTGAAACCCACACCCACCGTCAGTGGAACACGTCTGAAAAATTGAGTGAAGGAACGAGGTGACAACTCTGTCCTGTTGTCTCCTCTTGGGCGTGAGGCCCATCTTTGCTTGTGAAGTTGGAAAATCAAGCCGAGAGAGAGAGAGAGAGAGAGACTGAAGACACTCTGTACACCCCTCCCTTTTTATTTAACGGAAGGGATCGAAAACGATGCAGAGGAGAAACGCGTGTCTGATGAGGTGGCTCCCAAAGGGCCGGCGCGGTGCAGGGTCACTCGCAGGGCCCGGCCACCGGCTGGAAGTGGAAGATGGGGGGGCGGGGGGCAGTGACGTCGTAAGTGTCTGAGGGCCTGCTTGGTGATGCTTATCGTTTGTGAGCGGCTGCCCTAAGCTGCTTCTACTGAAATACTCTTTTTTTTTTTTTTCTTTTCTGTTTGCAGCTCTCTTAAGAGCCTGTGCTGACGGGGGTGCTAACCGCCTGTACGACACCACGGAAGGAGACAGGGACAGGTACGCTTTCTTCCAGCCCGTGTCCACAATGCCACTAATTCTGCTCTTCGCTCTGTTTTTTTCTCTCCTTGGTGAATGAGGACTATTTTACTTCAAAATTAACAGAAAACCACCTCAGTGAGAGAGCTGCCCAGCTATGTTATATTATTTCTTTGTTTTGAATGTATCTCTTAGAACTAAGCCAGTCGTATTACTTGTTTATTTATTCATTATTTTAAAAAAAATTTTTAAATTTATTTTTGAAGAGAGAGAGAAAAGGAGTGTGAGTGGGGGAGGGGCAGAGAGAGAGGGAGACGCAGAATCTGAAGCAGACTCCAGGCTCTGAGCTGTCAGCACAGAGCCCAGTGCAGGGCTCCAACTCACAGACAGCGAGATCATGACCTGAGCCGAAGTTGGACCCTTAGCGGACTGAGCCACCCAGGGACCCCTGTTCATTTATTTTTAAAGGTTATTAATTTTTGAGAGAGACCACGTGCATATGTGTAAGTGGAGGAGGGGGGAGAGGGGCAAAGAGAGAGGGAGACGGGAGGATCTGAAGCAGGCTCTGCACTGAGAGCAGAGAGCCTGAGGCGGGGCTCGAACCCACAAAATCTGAGCTCATGACCTGAGCTGAAGTTGGACGCTTAGCTGACTGAGCCAGCTAGGCGCCGTGGCCAATCTTATTATTTAAAAATCCCTCATTCTGCTACTTCAAAAGTCTCATTAAGTAGCATTATCTAATATTGGTATCTGTGAGGATTTTGAACATTGACTAAAATAAAACTAATAATAATTTGAGTTGTTATTCAGTTTAAATGAATAAAAGCTGATCTCATGTAAACAAATGATACATTCTCTTGTAGAAGCAAGATTTTTGTATTAGTGTTAAGTAAAGCTAAATATAATTTAACTTTGTTACTTCTGAGTTACACACATTTTAGGAGATAAATAACTTCTTTCTCTTCTTTAATGTTGTTGTTTTAATGTTTGTTTATTTTTGAGAGAGAGACAGAAAGAGTGCAAATGAGGCAGGAGCAGAGAGAGAGAAAGAGAGGGAGCTATGGAATCAGAGGCAGCCTCTAGGCTCCGAGTTGTCAGCACAGAGCCCAATGTGTGGCTCGAACTCACAGACCGTGAGATTATGACCTGTGCTGAGGTCAGACGCTCAACCAGCTGAGCCACTCAGTTGCCCCAGTAACTTATTTCATAATGATTTGTTATCTATACTGTCTGATTTTCCAGATCGATGCATGATGAGCTATTTTGAGACAAGAGAATACGTTTGATGAAAGCAAATTTAAATCCAGCTCATTGCCAACATGTTTATAGTTCAACCTCCTGGCAAACATAAGAATTTATAGTCTAGATATGAGTAGACTGGCTGCAAAATTTAGTTCCACTTCTATCATATGTGTTATTAAATGTACTGAAATGTTTATAGTTTGAGAAATCACCTCCTTGCTGCAAAAAATAAAATAAAAATATTATGATTCAACATACCGCAGGTGTGGATTAAATATATGTAGTTTGAAATGATGTAAAATACATCTTTATGGCATCAGAGTTTTTAACTTGAGCCTACTACTATTGGAGCTCCTTTCTGAAAGCAGCCGCTTGCTTACAGGAGGAGAGCATGTGTCCTTTGAGACGGGGCACGCTCCTGTCTGGGGACTGGATGAATTATCAAAGACCACGGCAATAGCGACAGCCTCGGAAGCAATTTAAATTCTTAACATTTTATGGTTCTTTATTTTTTAACTTTATGGATTCCCTCTGACCATATTCTCTAAGACCTGACATGGACAGTGTGTGAAAAATACTCTCACAAGTGTATGGGCCAGTTTGTTCAGGGAAGAGCATGATACCCATGAGGCCAAGATTATGAGTTGGGTATTGCATTTCAAGCCCACAGCCGGCTTGCTGGCAAGGCTTCTGGTACTAAGGTCTGTTCCTCTATGTGCAGACGTAGTCACAAAGGTAATTCAGTGATCCAGAGCTGTGAACGGATATGAACACAGTGCTTCCCAACTCAGCTTTGACCATCAGAACCATCTAGAATGCTTGTGAAAAAACTAGATTTCTCTACTGATTACTTTTATTGATTGGGTTGGACACTAATAAGAGAGGGCACGCAAAACTTTTACTCACATTTGAAAGCAAAACAGGTTACCAGGTTGGCAGAGTGAGGACCATCATTTTTGCCCAAGTTTCAAAATAATCATTTCTAATATTCTTAAGTAATCTTACAAAGACTTCCAAAAAGATTTACGTGATCTTATCTCAGAACCATTTGATCGTATCTGAAGATGTTCAATAATGTACTTGCCGTTGCTCTTCTCATTACAGTAATATGTTTGCAATGATTTGTACTCAGATACTTAGGGACACGGCTGGCCTGGGTAGAGTGTCTAATAAAGACGTGAGTGAACTGACTGCCTCGTGTGGGAATTGAATCCTTAGGGTAAATCCCATTAAATACAAACCCTAACCAGTTATGCTAATTGGATATAGGTGATTAACCATGATTCCTATTAATTACATTTTTGACAGAAAAGTAGAAAAACAGAATTAGAAAGGAAAAAATACAGGTTTGAAAAGCCAAGTATGGGTTGTGGACCACTGCTTGGTGTATTTGTATTTGTTTCTTTAATGCCGTATCTACAACATAATATCTTAATAATTATGCAATAAAACATGAATGTGTAGAGAACCATCTCTAGCTGAGCACAAAATGAGCTGTTCACACATTTGGAAGGAAGACTGATGTAGACAGTACGAGAGGCGCAGGAGGAGGAAGAGAGCTTGAGGAAGGACAGAGCTGAGGCGAGCAGCGGCAGTGACCTTACCAAATGCACTCAGCCGTCTACACCATCTTCATAAATGTTTGTCTGTCATTGTTTTAACTCTGAAAGGGGCCTCTCCCTATTTCTCAGGGTTCATTTTGCATGAAGAAGTCCTAAGTGTTTTTTATGGCTGTGAAAATAATAATGATGATTTAAGCATATGTTAGGAAGTTGAAAGAAACAAAAAGAAGAAAAAAAAAAAAAGTGTGTTATTTTTTCCCAAGTAGTAAAGAGTTATATTGAGTCTTCCTATTGGTTCTCCTCTTTGGAACAGCAGAAGATGTGACTAATTTTTCTTGCTCAGGTGAACATAAGCTTGCTGAATGTAAGCTCCCTGATGCCTAGAGAATTGCGTGGGAATATTAGAGGCTCAACAAACATTTGTTACTAACTGGATATTTTGTTAGTTACCCTGCTCTCTCTTCCCATAAGGTTTTGAGTGATGTTGATTGACCCTCACATTTTAGCTGAATGGATTTCCTCTGCTCTGAGGACTGACAGCTTCTGATTTGGGGGTGTGCTCAGTCTGGAAATAAGACTGAGGCAGGTTGAAGATCCAGTCAGTGAAGCGTAGATTGGGCACTGCCCATGACAGTGGGATCTTAGCTTTGAGATTAAAGAGGAGGAAATTTTAGGAAGACTCCGTACTTGGTACTCTCATATTTCGTTGTTGTTGTTTTGTTTGTTTTTGTTTTTTAGTTGAGGGGAAAAAAAATCTACTTATTTGGTTGGCCAGCCTCTCCAACCTTATTTTTTAAATCATCTGAACTATCTCTACTGATTTTGGATTTCAACGGAATGTTGAGAGTAGTATATTCTATCCTATATTATATATAGTTTTTATTACTGAAATATAGTTGATGCACAATGTTACATTACTTTCAGATGTACAACAATAGGGAACGGAGATGGTAACTCTGTTCCCATACTCTTTTTTTTTAACGTTTATTTTTGAGTGTAAGAGAGCGAGAAAGGGACACAGAACGAGACAGAACATGAGCAGGGGAGGGGCAGAGAGAGAGGGAGACACAGAATCTGAAGCAGGCTCCAGGCTCCACATTGTCAGCACAGAGCCCGATGCGGGGCTGGAACTCAAAAACTGCAAGATCATGACCTGAGCTGAAGTCAGACACTTAACTGACTGAGCCACCCAGGTGCCCCTGTTCCCATAGTCTTAATTGATTGTTTTCCTAACCCCCGATATCTGTGTTTAGAAATGTGGGGTACTATGCTGGTGTATTAGGTATGTGGGCCAGTACCCCCATTTCTGCAGCTTCAGCACATGTCTATATGTTGATAGTTGTCTGTGATTAGAAACTCACTCATATGGTGGCCTGACAACATCTGCCTCCTGGTTTCTTGCAAGTAGGTCAAACCCACCATTGATCTGAACCAACGTTAAAGCTCAGCCTTGTAGTCAGAATAATCACAGGAGACAAGAGGAAGAAACAAATACAAGTGAAACACAGTAAGATTTTCTAGGAAGATTTCATGAGCAGATTTCGCTTCTTGCCCATCGTTGATTGGCTTTGGAGGATTCTTTTGTTTTTCTAGTGACAATTTTATTAACATTAAGGTCAGGAAAGTGTAAATTGTCCACATCAAAGAATATAAGAAGATTGTTATTTATGGGCACCAGGTGAACACTAAGGATTATGGGAGAGTTAATCTCTGCCATCCTCCCATACCCAGTAATTCCTATTCTGCATCATTCACAGATACTCTCAGAATATCTACATTTCTACTCTCATCAGTTTCTCACCAGGGGTGGAAAAGTGGTCAACTATGGCAGTGATTACCAACCTTTTCCACCAGAGGGAATATATAGAGAAGCGCACAGATGATAACGATATAGCTCAGTGAATTTTCACAAGGGGAGCGCATGAATACACCATACTGATATCCATAAAGAGAGGGTTATGGGCATTGTAGAGCCCCTCCTCATGTTCCCCACCCCCATCACCATCTCCCCTCACAGGACACTACCACCTGACCCAGTTCATGTTAGACTAATTTTCCCTATCTCTGGCCTTTATAAATTGGAATCATAATTATTGAATTTTGGCTATATTTGGACCTTTTTTAGGATATAGAATTGATAGCTCTCTGAATCCGGAAAATGGATTAAGAAACATTGCTATAGGTTCTTATAAGAGAATTGTGGTCACACTAATTATG